ATAAATGACAGCAGGTGTTGTGTGATAGAAGGCAAAATGTTGCACAGTCCAGCAAAAACTGTGCGCGCTTTGGGTGACCGGCCGATAAATGCGTGGGCAGCTTGATACGCAGTGCCTTGTTTGTATTAAACATAAATAGGTGTTCATCGATATTTAACAGCCCCGGAGCATAGAAGTACGAACAGGTAAGAACATGTCAGGCCACAACGCGACTAAGAAAGCAATAAACCCACTGAAAGTTTGTCAGTCGAAATGCTCGAGTTGGCGACAGTGGCTTACGCCTGATTTGCATTACAGGGGAAAACTAGCGCAGCACCGGTCTTACTCTTTCTCTCTTCTCCCATTTACCAGTGGAGCATAATCAAGGCAACTACAACGGGACGTGGATGCAGAAGTGGACGTTAACTCTCTTGTATATATGTGCTACAAGCATGCTGACACTAAAAGCACAGGCTCCAGCTCCCGGAGCTCTCGAGGATAGTTTCTAGGGGCTTTGTGTTCAGGTGTCGATGCCACATATTTTCACATCTAAATGTGCTACACACTAAAAGCACACACTAAAAGCACAGGCGCTGGCTCTCCAATCTGTCGAGGGGGGGTTACGTTCACGTGTCGATGCCGCATAAGCCCACGTCTACAAGTGCTACACGCGTTCTGCCACTAAAAGCACATGCGCCGGCTTTTTAATCTCTCGAGAGGGTTTGCGTTTACGTATCAATGCCGCATAAGCTCACGTCTACACGTGCTACACGCGTGTTAACACTAAAAACATGTTGTCTACCGGACACCAGCCAACTCCTCCAAGGGGCTACGCCAACGGGTGCTAGCGACAGCCGAGGCAGTGGCTAGCGAATCCAGTACTGTTCTATCAGAAAACGCTAGCATAACCGCGACTTCATGTGAAGCGGCAGTTGCTGAGTTTTGACATGTCAGCATAAGACTAACCAACTTCTAACAAAACGGGAAAACTAGTCCAGCTTTCAGAAAATCAGCACAAAGTGGCTTAAGCAAAAGTTGAGAAATTCGTGCACGGCCGCTAGAGCTCAGATACATCACACTTGTGGGTGACGTAGAAAAATCTGCCCACTCAAGCACACGAATGCCGTCCGGCGGAAGACATTGCTGGTAGCCTACCACCACTTCTCTTCCTGGCGTGCCCAGGAAAAAAAAGCTGTTAAATTTTACCTTTGAACAGTGGAGAGTGAACTTCAAAACGAACTCCGACATTAAGTCATATTTG